GTCCTCTTTTGGAAGAACAAACAAAGTAGGTTCGCTTTCACAACGAAGCACACAGCGTCTTCAGGACATGGCGGCAGTGTCAACAATACTACAGCGAGAATAAAAGTTATGCCTTCTTTCTTTGCGTGAACATTTGGGCGGCTTTATGCAAATCTTCCCAGATCGTGACGTAGGTATGTGGGGGCGTGTTAGAACGAGCCGTTTTAGGTAGGCGTGGTTGACTCTTAACTTTTATAAAGAATATCTCTTTGGATTTGAGACTTTAGTCTTTGCAACTTTACAGATCTTCTTTATGCACCAAGAGCTTGTAACACTCCAAAGAGAAAGGAAAAATTGAAATGGCATCATATGACCCCTTTAACGCTGTAGTTACTGTTTTTGGTGTGAATGGGCTTAGTTTACAGTGGTACTTTGAAAACATACGCTATTGAAGGTGTGGTCACATTAGCAAACTTTCAGCGAAAAACAGGCACACTGTCCATTGTAAATAGTGTAGAAACGAAAGCCCAGCTCAAACAGAAATTACTTTCAAACCAATCAACTTTCTGTTGGTCCGTGTGGAGATTTGCGTGACCAACTTGAAGATGACCGAAATCTACGTAGGAACTTTTTTGCCCTCACACGAAACTCTCAATGGTGCACGGTCCGATTGAAATGGCGAAATTTAGCCAAACAGCATTAAATGTGACCACACCTTGAGTCACATTCATTGGCTGTTTGTTTTTTTCCCAGAATGGTACTACCGCTACAACAGAATATTATATTTGTAGTACAGTCTGCAGTGTGTATGAAGGACAAGGATATTTCATGTACTGAAAGTTAAACTCAAGTGTTATTGCAATGAAGGATAGTGTACATGTGTTTGCCAAAAAGACCAATGAACAAAAATGTTTATCTATCTTCTGAACATTTTGTTTCATCCAAATCCTCTGTTGTTTTCGTATTCGGTTTTAGTACGAAACCTTCCCCATGCTGCTGACAAGTAAACAGATCTATATCGTACACAGTCAAAAGAGGTTTATATACTCTCTTAGAATGGCTGAGTGCACACGCTGCAGTCGCATTGATCATCAGCTCTGAATGCTCTTTAGTAAACTGATTGGATATTTCTCCATTAGCCAGCACATTGTTCTGCCTCTACAGTGCAGTCCGATTAGCATGCTGTCTTGAAGGATATCAGTATTATAGTACGTGCAACGCAAAAAGCTACCAACCTAATGTATTTTGTTACATTTATTTATATGTGTTACTATGAAATAAAACAACTGGCTTTTGAGAGACGGCTTTTTTTTTTTTTTTTTCTTCATATTTTGTAGGTATGTTAGAAGGACCAAGAATACAATGAAATACAGTGTTGATTCAGAATAATACTGAACTCAAAATACTCCTTTTTAGGGGTAGTTCACCTAAAAATTAAAATTCTGTCTTCATTTACTCACCCTCCAGATGTTCCAAACCCATATGAGATTTATTTTTATGGAAGTCAATGGCTACCATCAACTTGAGGGTTTTTATTTTTGGGTGACCTATCGCTTTAAGGAATATTTCAACTTTAAACCGCATCTCTAGACCTTGCTTTTTTTTTATTCCACTACCCTGCATCTCGCATTTTTTAAATCAAAGACGCATTCTGTGTCTTAGTGGTAAAGGGTCACAATGAATGTATTTTCCACTGCGCTACTTCTTCAATGTGTTTCTGTGTAAACATACGTAAAACATACGTGTTTGAGCACTGCACTCGCATCTCGCAACTTTTGCATTAAAAAAAACTAAAGTTAAAAGTAATTAAACTTAAAAAAAAAAAAAACATATAACTAGACCTTGCGTTTGTTTTCATTTCATTACTCTGCATCTTGCATTTTTAAACGCAAAAGCGCATTCTTATTGAATGGTCCTTAACACATTTTAAAAATGGTGCTCAAGTTAAAAGAAGTAAAAAAAAATGTAAAGCATCATGAGAAAAAAAATGAGATTTTTATTCTACTGCCCTGTATCTTGTGTTTTTAAATGGATAAATGCGTACTTTGTTTTAGGGTTAAGGGGCCGTTCACACAGAAAATGTTTTTCCATTCCATTGCACTACTTTTACATTGTTTTTTTTATGTAAACGTGCTAGACTGACATCTCGTTTTTTAAAAACAGCAAGTTAAAAGAATTACAATTTTTTAAAAATGCAAAACGCTTTTGCACCCCACATGCTACTTTTTGTTTTCTATGTAAACTTGCAGTAAACGTTTGTCTTTGAACGTTACACTCACATCTCACACTGTGTTCAAAAAATGTTATACTTCAAAGTAGTGTTTGTTTTTTTAAACTTTCAAGTGAAGTGACGTGGGACGTGTGGCCGAGTATGGTGATGACCCATATTCGGAATTTGTGCTCTGCATTTAACCCATCCAAGTGCACACACACACACACACACACAGTAGTGAACACACACCTGGAGCAGTGGGTGTGTGTTCAGCGATGGGAATGATCGCAACTGACAATGGAAGGTGATGAGCTGATGAGTTGATTTATTTGTTTTTATATGCCTCTGGTCTTCACGCTTTTTAGATTTAGGCTTTTTAGGTCGGGTAGAATCTACAATCTCTGACCCAGTTTGTTTGCTGGTTTCCATGGCTGCAAAACGCTGTTTTCCGCTCTCTGACAATCCGGGGTGTCGAAATACTATTGGTTAAACTGTCAGGGGGCGGAGTCACACAGACTAAAACAAAAACAGGCATTCCGACACTGAGCGCACATTTTCAAAGCAGAAAAACTGTCTTTAGCATTGTTTTTCGGAGAAACAAGTATGTGAACTGTCGTGTTTTTATGCTTTGGCACTGTCAAAAAAATTACACACAGCACCTTTAACCGCAAAAACACGTTCTGTGTCTTACGAGTACGAGTACGTTTTTTAGCATCCCACTGCGCTGCTTTTCCATTGCGCTTATCTCTTTTTAAAAACGTAGTGTTCTAAAAACATCATGCTCAAATTAAAACAGGTTAAACGAGTTACGATACCTTGCGTTTTTTCCCATTCCACTACACATGCTTCACATTTTTCAACGCAAACATGCGTTCTGTGTGAACGGCCCCTAAGAGTGCAGGATTGGGGTTTTCAATGGTAAAACGACACAAGCCGGAAAAGCTTACAGATGTGTAAGAGGGTCTTGGATGCTCCAATTGTCAGGGTGCGGTGAATATGAGGCACGTGTGCTGGTCATTTGATTAGACAATGATTGATTCCATCCTGGTCACGACATTCAAAACACACACACACACACACACACACACACATATACACATAAACACACAAAACAACTAATAAAAAACAATCTTCTAACCAAGCTGCACAATCTCATTCATGTCTTTATAGATGCTTATGTGCATTTACAGGCTTCAGCTTTAAGCAATTACACCCGATATTCATAGCTGTGTCACCGATAACTAGAAGAAAAGCTCGCGATTGTCCGTGACAGCTGTTTAAAAGGACTCCGGGTAGGTTTCTAGTCGTTTTGTACTCTCATAAACATGATAGCTGCTCTCAAGTGCGGGTTCATGTTGTGTGTAGCGATGCTAATGAGCTCAGCTGGCAGAGGAGTGCGTCTCGACCCCGCCCCCACCTCCCCACGGGTACGAGAGCTCAGCTGTCCCCTCCACTTACTGCGGGATAAAGGAGCCCAATGCGGAACCTGCATCCTGCACCTGCTGCCTCCCTGCCACACACACACACACACACACACTCTAAATCCATCATTAGAAGCAGCTATGCAAAGCCAGTTTTAGCCACAAATATCAGCACTAATTTGAGCCAAACATTTTTTATGTACTACTACCTCTCTCCTTGATTATTTTGTACTACATATGCCAAAAATGTGTTTATTCGATATATATTAATACATTAAAATATTAAATGCATAAATGCTGCAACATTAATCCTATAATGCTTAACTATACAAAAAACTTATATAATACTGGTATATTATTATAAAAAACATTGAAAGAAAAAAATAATAATCATAATATATAATAAAATACAAATTATTATAATAAAAAATATAATAGCATTATGACTGAATTTACAGAATTAACATTTTATTATTTTTTAATATTTAATGTTTAAATACTATGCACAAATAATAAAATATAAATTCTATAATATTAATCATAATGCAACACGATATATACAGAAGTATTTTTATTTACATGTTCTTATTATAATAAATGTACAGTACATATTTAACACCGTGTTTTATGTGTTCATTAAATATTATTTAAAACTTATTTAAATTTGTATTTAAAAATATTTATAATGATTTCATTTTGTAATAACAATTTAAATAAATATAAATTCTACTTGCATATTCATAATATAATATTAATATAATACACGATAAATAAGTAATATTTCACGATTTGGACCAAATACAAAAATAATAATCATATATAAAGAAATCTATAAATATATATTCAATACAGAATATAATACACATAAATGTTATATAACAATATAAAATATATTTTTACATATTCAAATATGAAATAATATGTAAACATAATAAAACATTAATGCTATAATATTAATTACAATAGTGAAACAAACGTTTCAGAAAGTGAAAACATTTTACATATTATTATTATTTGTATTCTTTTAAAAAATAATAATTTTATATTATTATTATTGTGTTATCATTACTATAAATGAGCAGTACATATTTATCACAACATCTATCAAAAATCTAGTATTAAATATAAATGCAGAATAATCCTGTAATGCATATATGTACACATACATTTTTGGATTATTATTTTAGTATATTAATGCAAATAAATGCAAAAGTAGGTCATATTATAAAATAAAATTTATAATATTAAAATGTAAGATAAATATAAATATTTTCATATTCACAATATTATAAAAATAAATCATATTCTAAGTAATATTTCTCCGTTGATATTATTTCTCTTTAAGCATCTATAATAGCTCCGTGTAAGGGATCGCTGAATAGCGCTATAGGTTCTGGTCCTGCTGGTTTGGCTCAGTGGAGTTCAGTGCGTTCAGTGCTGTGTGTGGGACTCAGGTGTTGATCTCTAATCATTAGTGGACCAGACAAAGGAGGGAGGATGGGGAGGCAGAGGAGAAAGACGCCACCTGTCATAAGATCAGGGTGAACGGCCTCCATCCTGCCTGCTGGATTAGTGGATCAATAGAGACCAACACTCACCATCAACACAATCAGCAATGCTGATATCCTGATAGATGCTGATCTAAGAGCCTGACAACACAACCAGTAAAAGACAACATTGCTCAGAGGATGTTTCAGGATCAGTACTCATGAAGCTCTATAAACGTCTCTCATCAGAATGTACAAAGAAACTAATAAACTTTACATTTATTTTGTTATTAATAAATCAATAAAAAGTATATCAATTCATAATACATTATTTTTATAGTTTTCTATCAATTGTTATATCAATTATAATTCATAAATCATATTTTAATAAAATAGTTTACACATTTTTATATAAATTCATATATATATATATATATATATATATATATATACATGCAGTGTATATATATATATATATATATATGTGTGTGTGTGATATTAAAAATTTATCTTATCTTTATCTTATAAAATTATTAATAAATATAAAAAATATATTTTTAAAATATAAATTAAAACTTCTTTACAATATACAATAATACACACAATTTGTATAGTTTCTTTTTAAATATTAAAAATCCTTTGCATTTTAATAGAAATAAATTAATGTATATTTTCATAATATATCATTTCTTTTTAAATATTAAAAATAATAAAGGTATCATTTGTAAATTTTTTTTTTACTTTTTAAAAGCAATGTTAATTATTTTTAATACATATGAACGGCATAAATCAAAAATTAAACTAGCACATTCTCATAATATATTTTACATGTTTTTATATAAATAAATTCATATATTTGTATTGGTCATTTTTATTTGGTATTTACATTCCTTTTATCTCCTCACATCGACAGGAATTCAATCCGACACCATTTTTCAATGATTTGTTTTTAATGGGCCTCAGAGCTTCACACAGTGACAAACGGAGGGGCTGTGGGTACATGGGGAGGTTTGACAGTTTTCTGAGGGATGAAGAGAAACAATGAGGGGTAAAAAAAAAAAAAAAGACCTTGCATTCTCTTCAGGAGCAAACAAACATTACAAACGAACACGTACAACTGAAATTCACACAGTCAGGAAGAACAGCGTTCACTACCTTGACCTCTCCGCTCCGTCACTGCGACTCAAGAACAGTGACGTATGTGCAATTGTATCATTTTTTTGTATCGTAAAATTGCATAATCAATTCAGTCATACTTCGAACCAATCAGAGCTAACCTACTGCATCATGTGACCGAGGGCAGTCAGAATCAGCTGAACACTATTATATGGTTCCGACGGAAATGTCTGAAAGATAAAAACACTGCAAAATCCCTGTATTTCTCCTCAAGTGACGCGATTGCTCGAAAACAAAAAGTTGGAACATGTAGAAGGGTAAATCACACAAAACATGTCCAGGTCATAGCTCACATTACAAAAACATGTTTTTGCCTATAAGAAAATTCTGCCTGTTTTTAGGATCACACTTTTTAGCATTACGACATTATTGTCATTATGGTTAAGCACATTTTAATGGCCAATTAACAATTCTCAATACTGCAATGTGACAAAAATGTATATTAAATTACAAGAAAAAACATTTGATGTATTAAATTGCATTTATTTTAAATTAAATTGTAGTCATGATATTTTAATACAAATATAATTGTGCCCAGACAAGATTCTTTTTATTACTATATTACATTAAAATCATGATTTTTTTTACATTAAAGTAATGAAAAATGTGCTTAACTGGCATGACAATAATGTATAATAATGCAGAAAAAAAGGCTTATTTATTTTCATATGCAAAATACAATTTAACATTTTTTTTCTTTTGATTTTGCAGTGAAATACAACATTTCTTTGTGTGATTCACCCAAAAGAGATTATTAAAACAACAAACAAACAAACAAAACAAAAACAATACACATATCCAGTAAGATAAACGTACTCCTGTTTTCACAGAATATGTAGTGTTGTGCTGTCAAAAGACAACAAATACAATGATTTTCATATTAGTAACTGCTGCTCCATTCGTTTCCATTCGAGTTAGCAGTGGAAATATAATGCAAACTGACAGTTTGTGAAAATATGTATGTTAAATACTGGACGAACCTCCTTGCTGAGCTGTTTAAGAATGTGAAACGCAACCTAAAGTTTTGTCACGAGTGCCTGGCTTTCTAAAATGAAATGTAACTTCACGCTCATCTGTGCTAAAGCGCTGATTAGATAATGACATATAACTATAAAAATTAGATCACCCAGAAATAAACATTTGCTGAAGACGTTCATGGATGGACTAGAGTCATGTGGATTATTGTGATGTTTTATCAGCTGTTTGGACTCTCATTCTGACGGCACCCATTCACTGCAGGGGATCCATTGGTGAGCAAGTGATGCAATGCTACATTTCTCCAAATCTGTTCTGATGAAGAAACAAACTCATCTACATCTCGGATGGCCTGAGGGTGAGGAACTTTTCAGCAAATGTTCATTTTTGGATGAACTCATCCTTTAACTATTAGTTGTCAAATTTAGCTTTTATGCTAAAATACACTTGGTCCAAAACTTCACTTTCATCTGAAATGATCCATTTTCAGACTTTCTACAGATTAATACCCAATTGTCACGCAATTCACATGTTTAATGCTTACTTGAGCACAATTTTTGGTTAATATTTGAATTGTTAACCTATTTGGAGACTTTTAGGCAGTTATCCGGAGTGTTTCACGTCAACGTTTCCGTAAAAAACACAATTCCATTCAGTTTAAAGAAACAAACCGCAGTGCGTGTCAATAAATCTCACTAGTAACTGATTATCAATAACTCAAATGTAAAAAATAAGTAAACAAAGCACACAGAAATAAACACTTAGACAGTAAATAACTAATTCCCATTAGTATGATCAGTAATATACCTGCTTTAACAGTATCTGGTTAGTTCAACTCCAGTGTTTAGTAGGTGGTGTTGATTATTTACAGTGGTCTAAACTGACTATTAAAGCAGCGCACAGGAAATAACGTAGGCAATTTTTTCTAGTAGCACTTGATCCTTTGAAGTATTTAAAGTCATTGTCCATTTGAAAGAAACGATTTACCCTGGATTACGACATAACTCGTACGAAATGATCAGACCGCGTTATCGCCAAACCAAAAATGCGTTTACGAAAAACCAGCCCTTGCTTTTACACGCTGTGTTACCCATTTGTTTTCTGTCTGGGTTGTTTCTAAGAAAGCAAAAAGTTACAAAGCAGCAGCGTTCTACCGTATAATGGACTAAAGATGGAGAAAGTGTTTTGTTTCTCTCCCAAGCACCTTCGTAGGAGTGAGCGTTCGCAGGCGGGAGAGCTGTAGCGGCGGAGGACGGAGGAGGGCTGTTCACAGAACAATCAAGAGAATGATCACAACAAACAGGATGGCCAGAAGAATGCCGATAGCGCACCACTGTCGACGATCTGCGGGGTCAGGCAAGAATATAACAGGTTAAAACACTGATAACTAGGTTAAACAGTGTTTTCAACAGCTAATCCATACAGCCAGAGAACGTTTTTAAAACATTCCCATAACTTTCGGGAGAAGCTCAGATTTCATTCTTGGCCTCTCAACCAAACGTTTCCTTTGAAAAAGACCGGAAGTTTGACTTCCTGTTCATGCTTTGCCTTATAAGGGGCACCGCAGCCAATCAGGAAGACAAGGGGTCCTACTAACAGGAAACGCATGATGGATTTCTTTCTAAACAGAGTGCCAACTTTATGAATTCTGACAAAGTTTTGGCTTTACATAAAACGTAAATACTACTATACTAGATAAATACTGCTAAAGTGTCAGATATCATGTCAAATATTAAAATAAGAGGTTTCAGTTTAATAACTGTTGAAAGTATTTTCAGACTGAGTTTAACAGCATTTTAAGCATTATTTTTAGCCAGTAAATGAAGCAGGTCTGCTCTTCCTCTGCAGTATTACTCACCGCTGGTCATGTGAGAAACTTTAGCCAGTTTCTTCATGACATTATCCAGTCTGGAATGAGTGCTGTCCATCTCATGTGAAAAATCATCCAGCATTCTGAAAACAGGCCAGACACACAGTCAGAATCGATTCAGAATAAAACTGTCAGGATTCAGGCCAAAAGCAGGCCACTTTTTCATGTACTATTTTGTGTTCTGGTTTGTAATGAATGAAAAAATAATAATAATAAAATAAAAAAATAAATAATAAAATGTATTACTAAAAATATATTACTAAAAATAAATTATTTAAAAAATAATTTAACTATGTAAAATTAAAAAATTATATATAAATTAATATATATGCAGTTTTTCATGCACAAGTTTGTGTTGTGTTCTGGTTTGAAATTGAATGAATTGAATATGAATAATAAATATATTAATAATATATTAAAATACTTTGAAAAAGTATATAAGTATATAGATAGATAGATAGATAGGTAGGTAGGTAGGTAGGTAGGTAGATAGATAGATAGATAGATAGATAGCAATTACTATTCAAAAATGATAATTAAAAAAGTTTGTGTGTGTATATATATATATATATTATTTACATATTCAAAATTATGTATATTCAATATACATAATTATAATGATGTATAATCTATACACACACACACACACACATATATATATATATATATATAAAATACAAATACTATATATAGATTTCTTTCTTCAAATTATATGTAATTTTTTTATTCAAAAATGAAATTCATCATTTTTAATTATTATACTTCACCAGTTTAAAAGTGACTTACACAGCTTGCTCATCCAGCTCTTGGCCGATCCTTTGGGACATGTTCTTCAAGACGCCAATAGTTCCCGACACCATCTCCAGCTGCTCATCCTGCTGTTCTGCTATGAGCTGCAATGTACACATACAAATAAAACACACTGTCCTGATAAATGCTCATAAACATGGTAGAATATGCTAATCATGTCATAATTAGCTGTTAACTGCGATATGAACTGCTGTATTGACGTACCTGTTGCTGGGTCTGCTGTTCCTCAATGAACTGTGAGTTTGCCGTCTGCAGCTCCCGGTCCAGTCTAGTGTACTTATCTGCACTGGGTTGCCAGATTGGGCCACGAGACCCGCCATCACCCATTAAAGTCTAATATGGGATCATAAATTGTCATGAGATGATACGCATACTGTCAAATCATAAATTGGCTCCTACTTTCATAGTTTAAGTACAAACCTGTCGATTTTTCCTCTCGGACACCGTCATGGCCATTGGACTAGTCATGTGGTCTTTCATCTCCTGTAAAATGAAAATCCATTAGAGATATTCATAAGCCATTGGTTCAGATATGTTTAAGTCTCTCAAATATGCTCACCCTGACTGTTTGCCTTGTGCTAGTGATGAAGGCTTTCCTCTTGGCCAGCTCCATCGCATCGAGATTGAACTTCTTTGGATTAGCCTCCACAATACTTAAAGACGAGGTTAAGGCTACAACCTATAAACACCTGAACCATTTAGTCCAAACATAGGCCACCAGAAACAAAAGGATATTGATAGTCTCATCCAAGTCCTCCAAGTCCCATTCAATGGACCTCAAACTGTTCCTCAGCTCATTAGTGGTCCAGTCCACCTCCTCCTTGCTGGCTCCACCCGGGTCCTGTAGCAGCTCCATCCATCTCTGATGAAGCCCCTGAGCTGTGTTCACAGCCTTCTGCACCTCTCTAACGAAAAGCAATCAATTAAACCTCTTTATAAAGTGAGGAACCCAACAGCATTTGAATAATGACAATGCAAATGTTTTTGATATAAACAAAAATACTACAGTACTTTTGGCACTATTATAATATCCTGATTTTGGACATGTACCATGGCAAAGTGATGGTATCATAAGAAAATACCATGGTACTTTGATTTACATCATGGTATTCACATGCCATTCCAAGGTAAGTATACCACTGTACAGGTCCAAAAAACGTGATAATTCCATGTTTTGGACATATCTTGGTACAGTGGAGGCATCACATGGAAATACCATGGTACTTTGACACTTACACCATGGTATTTTCATGGAACTCCAAGGTACATCCCAGAATACCATGGTACTTGTCTAAACAAAAGCGGTAGTAAAATGGTACCTATTTGTAAATGTAATATAGTTAAGAGCAGATATCTGGTACCACACAACAATACCATGTCGAGGAATAGATATCGATTTAAAGGCATGATACAATGGTGGGAAAATCGAAAATAACGGTTGCCATGGCAACACGACAACGATCTCACTGAAACAGCTGTTTTAAACGGTATTGCGTAGTGACATACGACCTCCCAAAGCGTTCACACACAGTGCTAACATTGGTAAACAGAAAAGTTTAATTATAAGAAAAAACTTTTGAGCTAATAATTCGCTTTCTCCTAAATCGATATTCGACCACAGTCACCGATCTAAGCCGTAAACTCACCCTTTCACGACGAAAAACGGATCTTCCATTGACATTTTGGTGCTCAGATGAATCGATTCTTGTGCGATAATCTCATGCTCCTGATCGCGGCTGGTTTTGCTTTTCTTAAACAAAGGAGAGCGCTTAATGTGCTGTTTACATATGGGACGGAGCCCGGATCCGCTCGGCCGCCATTGCCTGGCGGAATCACATCCGGGTTCTTGAGCGTCTAGGCACACACGCACACGCTTCCCGGTAAACAAACACCGGCGTGCTCTGCGTGGGTTGTTTTGGTTTGTTGCAGTAAAAGAACAAAGCAATATTGCCACAGATGTTACAGGTGCATAAAAGCAAGATTGTAATTATAAGAAGAAGAAAAAAACAACGACAAAACACAGAGTTAAAGAGTTATTTATTAGCCTGTTTAATTCAGATACTGCTATATAAATGTAGTAATGTAGTTAAACATTTCAACACCGTCAATATTACTTTATTCTGTTATAATTGAATATTGCTACAGTATATTATATTACTATTATGGTATATTATATTATTATTATTATGGTTTATCTTCTACACTAGATACTGCTGGATAAATTATGCAGTTACAGGCATTTCAACACCTCTATAGCATTTCAGGCAATATTACTTTATTATTATTTGATACTGATATAGTATGCACTTTTATTATATTATTATTGTTGTTAATAATTATTTGTAATAATTGAAATCATTATAATTCTTTATAATTTAATAATAACAACAACAATAATTATTATTATTATTACTACTACTATTATTATTATATAACTTTTACCTGTCTTGTCTTATACACTAAAAAGTACTGTGGTAATACCATGGTATTGTGATGTTGTGATATTGTGATTCTGATAGTGATGCCATAAATGCTTTGAAATACAGAAAATTATGTACCATGGTATTTCATATTCAAAAATTCATATTACTTTCAAAATACCATTATAGTATCATGGTACATGTCCAGAAATGCTCTATTATTCTTTTTCTCTCACATGATACAATAGTATATATTTAAGTAACCAGGTCTAACCATCTTATTGTACTATGGTGCCAACAGTGTACTTTTTTATTTACTTGAACTCTAGATTTTAATAAATTGCATGAATTAAACACCTCCAATCTATTCCCACAAAAAGAAAAGAAAATTAAAAGATTAACAACAACAACATTTGAAATCATCTAAAATAATAATAATAATAATAATAAAAGGCCACAATTATGAGTCTGCCACTGGGTTCTCTTAATAAACGTAGTTTTGCACCTCGTCTGCCTACTAAAACTGCTTCATACATTATTCATCACAGCGCACTGCCTTCTCATTAGCTGACAAACTACAGCAGTGCTATCCACTGGTAAGCGGACGGTTGTGTATGATGTAAAACCAGCAAACCAGCTGGAAACACTTCAGCTCAGCTTAGTAAGTAAAGCTGCATCAATTATTAATCAACTCTGGTTTTATTTATTGCATCAGTTGCCAGTTTCCCATCAACACGCAGACCTGTAATTGAAGAGCTGGGAATAGATAAGGATAGCCTACATTATTTTAAATAGACCTTGTATTGTATCCCTTTACTAACTGCAGCCTAAACACAGCTGGATGCTGATTTAAATGACAGTATTAAGGCTTTTTTTTAATCCATGTTCTTGTCTATCAATAATACACTCTTAATCTGAAATACGGCTTGAGGCACTAGAAATCAAGTATTTCTCAAAAGATATTGTGCGGTAGGCATGATGACTGTGATCGTTTATATTTAGATAAACAATCTCTGAAAGTGTCTTAACGTTCCGTCACAACCCGCTCTTCCTGTCAGGGTTGTTTATGACCCACATCTTAATGCAGGCGAACACACAAACCGCACACGGATTACTCATCTAAAAAAATACATATAAATAATGAAAGCAGCGCCATTTAGAAGCATTATCGTCAGTTCAGGGTAAAATCTCCCACACTATTCATTGTCGTTCATGAGTAGCAGCTAACTGTTTTTTCAAACAAAACATTGCCCTTCCCCCCACTAACAGCTCCATTCACATTTGCCCAGACACCGCAATGGATTTGCACAATAGAGTCATGTGACACGACTGTAGCAGACAAACCATTACATCAGTCGAGGAAGTCAGTTGAAAAAATTAAAGGGGAAGTACCAGTTTTTCTGAACATAACACGAGATGAGCTGCTATGCGGAAACTGTGTAAAAAAATAATAACAATAATACGGGAACGTGTAGATTTAAAATCTATTTTTAGAAACTAAACATATGCAACAACGAGCCTACCCTAAATATGCTACATAATCTGTAAAAACATGATTTAGTGTCTCGTACATGTCGATTTTGGCTTGTTATTCGTTTCTATTCGCTTACAAAAACGATATTGTGTTTTAAATATTCGTTTTATAAATCAAAATAGCTGAATACACACAACGAATTGTAAAAATATCTGTCTGTTTTAGCTTGAAAACAATTCTTTCCCTTTAAACAGTTCTCCCACGTTAGTATTTAAATATGACTCATCGTCACAGCGCTCTCCCATTGGTCATCGCCTATTTGGCGGGGTGTGATTCTCAACGGTAGCAGAACGCAACTCGAGACGTGATTGGCTAGTGTAGCCGCTGACGTTTAAGTATAAAAGCGAGTTAAAAATAAAAACGGTCTCATTACTCCCTAGACCATTGTTGGGTGCTGAACAGAATGTGTGAGGTATTAAAAACTCCTACACTCACCCAATAACACAAATATTGTATTTTGTGAATGGGAATGAGGCTTGTGTCAACAAACTACGGGACGATTTGATCTACGGAAGGAAAAAACTACTTGGACGTTATTTATTATCGTGTTTCCGTGCCGGCGGCCAATTATCAGTAGCAGTTTGAGGAGAATCCTGAGAGGAAATCAAACGCGAAACGCCCGGCGAACTTTACCGTATCGATTCCAGACATGGAATACAAAGTGGAAGCCCATCGGATTATGAGTATTTCCTTAGGGAAAATCTACAACTCACGCGTTCAACGAGGCGGCATTAAATTGCATAAAAACCTCCTGGTCTCGCTGGTCCTTCGCAGCGCGCGTCAGGTCTATCTGAGCGACTACTACAGCGGCGCTTGCCTGAACGCTCAGAGCGAACGCGAAGGGAACGAATGGGACATTACGGACTCAGAGCGGGAGAAATTCCCTCCCTCTGCAACGGAATGCGACCGAGTGGAGAGCACAGAGGAACCTCAACCGAACGAGCAGCCCGAGAAGGAGCGCGAATATCGCGAAAACGACGATGAGGTGAAATCAGACCAGGTGGATTGTACTTCCACTTTACAAGAGCAAAACCAAAACTCTTCGTTGGACTCTGTGGCTAAGGTTTCATCTGAAACACCGCCGGAATCCATTACCGAGCCCAAGGAGAGTCCCTCGGACAGCGCAGTAGCAGAACGCGACTCAACGCCTGAAGCGAACGGGGAATCACATCAACCACCCAAACCGTACGTTTGTTCAAACAGGAAAAGAAGCGCCGAGGAGTCGGAAAGTGGCGATTCGCCTCAAAAAAGGACCAAAGTTGCTTCCTCAAACGCTAAAGAGGACGAGGAAGCCGAGGAGATGGACACGAGTAACGTGTCCAACCTCATAACGATATTTGGTTCCAGTTTCTCAGGACTTCTCAGCAAAGAAAGCGCCAAACCTGAGGCCGAGGCAGAGGATAGTGGACAAATCTGCTGTGACCAAATGTTGAAGAACCTAAACCCTTGGAGTACGGCGATAGTAGCTTTCTAACTGTGTTGTACTGCACTGTACTTCTCATCCGGGTTGCTCTGGGCGCATTGGTAACACGTGGTCAGGCCTGACATCGTAGTGTGGGACTTCCCAGCAAGCACGAGTCTGTTTGGCCTGTAAGATGTCCGGGCATGCCTTTCTAGTGAAGGAACTATCTGAATGCTGGTGCTACTCCTTGGGATCTACTACAGTCCTTGAAGTGTTGAACTCTCAGACCATTCTGAAGCCATGTGAGCGAGTGGTATTACAACATATGCAAACGTGTCATGAAGGTCAATATTGCATTGTCACTGAACCGATTCAGGGTCGATCACACGAAACTTGACTGTACTAGGTTTAGGCCACTGTTTTAACGTCTTTGTTTTATAAAGACCTGTACATTTTGTAATATTCGAGTGTGTGTATATAATGTTTCCCATGTCGCATTCTGAATCTATGTATTTTGGTATCATGACAGTTTTACGTGGTGCTCACGTATTAAAAAAAATGAAATGACACTGATTGTTTCTGTGCTTTCTGTTCACCAGAGGTAACGTTGAGAACGTGACTATTCACATGATGACTAATGACACCTCATCCACCTTTTTTCAAATGTCAGCTTTTTTTTTTCCTAGAATATGATTTAAAACTCCAGCCCAATGCTGTTTTCAAGGTTTCCACGGTGATAGTACTTTAAAATAATTGCAGAATTACATGGAGATTACTATGAGTCTAAATAGAAAGTGTTAATATTTATTATATAAATATATAATAACACTATTTCATTGTCAAAAACTGTAGTTTGTGCGCAGTCTCTGTTTTATATGTATATATTATATATAGGGTTGATTTAGGATTTTTTTTCCCCCAGTCATCTCAATGGCAAAAATTGTCCCAATTTACCTGAATTCATATTTTACATTTCTGAATTCTATATATTTTTTAATTACAAAGAACTATTCACTAATCAAAAATGAAAATTTATGAAACTCCTGGAAATTCATTGGTCAAAAAGTGTGAGAACCATGTTTCACACACTTGATTCTAAATATAAGAGTCAATGAAAAACCATTTAGGGTTAGTATTTAATATATTAAAAATGCAGCTTCCCCAAACAAAACTATTTGGACCAAAATGATCCAACGAGTTTGAGAAAAACAAGAATGTTCAGCTGCTGTTCCACTGCATCACTTCCAGGCAATTTTTACTGCATGTTGTAAAGAGGGCTATCGTGCCCCTGAAGCATGTGTGGTATGCAGGCTTCAGTTTCAGCGCAGACTGCTGTCTCTTCTCCCAGGGTCTATCTTTGGTCCCGGGCTATTCAACATGACATGCCTTTTCCTACAACAGAAATAGCAGTCATAATAGAATTGTTGACGTCTAAACCTTTTTTCATGCAGAACATCACTTGAGCAGTCTTACATTATTAAAAGAGGCGATATGATTCATAAGTTACAAAGAAGAAAAGCCTTTATGCTCAAAAATGTTTCATTTAATATGACTAATTATAGAGAAATTTATTTAATTCACTATAGGCAAGAATGCAGTCACTGAAGTAAGTGGAGTATGCTTGTCTTGTAATACACACAAAAAAGTCAGTTTATCTTAAATAAAAAGTTGCATCCAAGTCAAAGGAATCATAAATATGACTGAACTATAAGTTACACCAATAAATGTGGGTTCCCACAGTCATGGAAACCCTCCTGGAATATATATATATATATATATATATATATATATAAATAACAAAAACTTTAGAATATCTTTATAATATTTAATTTGATATAAAATACCGTTCAAAAGTTTGGGATCAGAAAGATTTATAATGTTTTTGACAAAAGTTTTTTAAAAAGCTAAATAGGACAGAATTCAGCGAAAATTAATGTAACATCCTTGCTGAACAAAAGTATTCATTTCTTTCAAAAAAGAAAGAAAAAAGTACTCCAAACTTTCGAACGGTAATGTATATTGTTACAAAATATATATAATATAAAATAATTTAAATGTAACTTGTAATTTAGCATATAAAATATATAATGACTTTAAAATCCTTCTCCAGGCACAAATAACTAGAAAACTTTAAAAAGTCACTGAAATGGACTAGTAAAATTGTAAAGTGGTAAAAGGGGAAAGTGGCTTTTAAGGGTCAGATCAGGTAGAAAAATACCTTTAAGATTTTCAACAGTATGTTCAAAGTGTGAGTAACATAAAAAAAATAAAAAATAAATACATTTATGACGTTAACTCCAGCAGAAGCAGCTTGATGCCCGGCGCGGCCGCATTCTTTCACACAGACATGAGCAGCTATTGATAGATACATTCCCTCGAGAAAGACCAGAAGGCATGAGTAAAGCTGCTCTCTCGCCCTGCTCGTTGGCGAAATGTGGGTCATTCAAATCCCGGCCATGGTCGAGTCAGCTGACCACACCAGCACAGAACAGTAACAGAGCTGAAGCAGATGGCGAGGGCGTGGCCTGACATGTCACTCTTAGCCGTGGTGGACTTTTTCTTAAATTTCTGCAGGGCCTTTAATAACGTAATAGCTCTCATTATCATTGACATAGGGAAATCTGATCCAAAGCATATAGATCTAAAAATGATCAACATATAAATCTAAAAATGTTTGTCGCATATGATGCAACATCACTGGCTGTTTCACAAACCATGCTTAAACACATGCAGCTGTCCTCTCCTGACTGGCCTCTCGCTCCTGCATTCCTCAGTCCTGGAAGGAAAGGGGGTGGGGGGCGGGAGGAAAAGAGCAAAGTTGTGAAAACGATTCCTGCCGATGTGCAGTAGGTGGGTCTGGAATGTTGAGTCAAAAGCTGAGAAATTTAGCGGGAACATTGGTCAGATTACAATTTTGGTAAAACGTCAGGTAATGGCATGTCAGCTCAGACTCATGCAAAATGACAATGCAACAATTTTTTTTTATATTTTCTGAAAAAAATTATATATATACATATATATATATATATATATATATATATATGCAGTTGTTAGGGTGCTTTGTGTGGTTACTTAGGCCAAGTTTACTTGCATTAAAAAGTTCTATTTCAGTTGGGACTAAAACAATAATTTGTCTTTTTAAGATGTCCTGTAAGTGCTCAATATTCAACTGAAATCATAGCAGTCTAGTTTTTGCAAAGTCGGACTAAAGGTCAAAATTTTGCTTGCAAAAATGTCCATTGTCCATTTTCAAGTGTAGTGATGAATGAAGCACTATTCACACAGATGTCACTTTCTAACCATGCAGTGAAACTGTCTGTGACCAAAATCTGCATGCGGAAATATTTTGCCCTCAGAAGAAATTCCTGATTGTGTGCATTCCTATTGAAATTACTGGATTTTACCCGAGAAAATTCACAGTAAATGTGACTGCACCTATTTGATAGGCAAATATTCGATTGCACATAGTGTCATGTTTACTTAGACAACTTGATTATTACTCATATAACTCTGTAGCTTGTCTAGAACGGAGCATTTAAAGTCACTTTATGATATCTTAGTCCCTTCATATCATACTCCCACTTAAATATAAATCTACTGGACTTTTTTGTCCATTTTATCACAGGCCAGGCAAAACTAAACAGTATGATCATTTAGAAAAGTTATATCAAAACCAAAGTTCAGTAACTGGCGTCAAATCCTTAACTTTTGCAAAGCTTTTAGGATAGCATTGGACAACAAGGAACTATCAAGCAATAAAGATAAGATGTCAAGGACTGTTTTAGGTGTTTAGGTGATTTATTGTGTGCTAAGAGCCATGCCGTGTCCCTGTTTAACATGGTCATTCCCAAAGAGTAGGGCGAAAAGATGCCTGAACAAAACACCAGTCTGGATACAAGTAGAGACAAGATCTACTCAAGCAGTTCTTTTGTTCAAAGCAAACAGAAAGTCAGGAAATCTTTCGACTACTCATTCAGCAAGATGGATATCTCCGCATTGACACATCAACCGGAGTGACCCACAAAGCAATTTGTCAATGATCTCATCAGTCTCCACAATGCTCCAAGTTACTCATCCACCTAGTTTTTAAGGTATTCATACAGTATTCCTCCAAAAGGGGGGATGGGCGACGAGTGAGAGAATAATCTCACAAACCAATATATATGAACTCTCCTAGATTCACGCGACGGCTTAAAGGAGTCATTGTCCATTCAAATCAGCTTTGCGCGTGCAGGAATTACCGAACCTAATCAGAAGCCTTCAAAACACTAGCAAACCATCTGCCATCCGCCAAAAGATCAGATGTGCTTTCTGTACACTCTTAAAAATGAAGTTTCAAAAAGACAGATTTTGCAGTAGAACCATTTTGGGTTCCACAAAGAACCTTCCAGTGAACAGTTCTTAAAAGAACTGAAGAACATCTAATCGAAATAAACTTTTTCCACTATAAAAAACCTTTTGTGCGATGGAAGGTTCCATGAATGTAATGGTTCTTCAATGTTGTATGCTATGCAACATATAATTTTGCATTTGTGCATATAGTAGCATATTTTCTTTATTTAGATTGACTTTCTGTACACTCTTAAAAATGAAGTTTCCAAAAGACAGATTTTGCAGTAGAACCATTTTGGGTTCCACAAAGAACCTTCCAGTGAACAGCTCTTAAAAGAACTGAAGAACATCTAATCGAAATAAACTTTTTCCACTATAAAAAACCTTTTGTGCGATGGAAGGTTCCATGAATGTAATGGTTCTTCATGGAACCATAGATGCCAACAAAGAATCTTTATTTTTAAGAGTGTAGTGAAAAAAATAGATACAAAATGTGTGCATATAGTGTTTTCTTTATTGAGATTGGTTGGTGAGTGATGCCAAAAGCATCACGTAATACGGATTATCTCAGATTAGGTCGTTTAAGTGAGACTGCAAAAATAAACAGGGAAACTCCGGCTCTAGTGTGCAATAAAACCAAACAGGGAACTAAAAGTTGTAACCACAAAGCAGTTAGAACTTTCAAACCGGTCTACAATGACTCAACGCCCTTCCCCCCACAAGAGCACAATCACAAAGACAATTCGGCAGTGATCTTTTCAAGGAGGGGAGAGAGAAAGAGCCCTCGCCGTGGCCCCGCTATTCATTCCATTTGACCCCTGCCGGAGTCCAGACAAACTGAAGTCTTTGTTTATCTTGGGAAACTGGCAGAGGACAGGAGGGGAAAAGGGTTTGGGTGGGGGAGGGTAGTGAGGAATGGAGGAGGAGGTGGTTGGAGGGAAAATGGGATCGGGGGAGGGGTATCCTGGGAAAAATGCCAGCATGGGATCAGTGACAGGGCTGGGCTTCCTGAAACAGGAGCAGCCTGGGATGGTGAAAGAAAGGGGTGTCATTGTGGAGTGGTGGGGTTGGGGGGAGGGTCCACCTTGTTGGACCAGGCCAGAAGACCAGAGACGTACTACACACGCAATACGTCACGTTGATGTATGTTTCCTGTTGGCCGTGGGGTCGCATTTAATTACAGTTCCAAAAGCTTTATAGACTCCACAAGCTGATAGCAAACGGTCATGTGGCTGATCTGTGAGGGTTCTGCAACGACAACAGACCTCTTGTGTGTGAACATTTAGGTGTCTCCTCAAGCGCTACAAGCTGGGACATGTTGAGAGCAAAGGAAGCTTGGGGCAATTAAGGCAGACAGATGGTCGCTAAGAGAAAAAAGGCTGGTGTACCTTTCTCATGTTTTGTTGCAACAGGAGGGTCATGTGTTCCAACAGGAGCCGCGGTGTAGATAGATCTGAAAAGAGTGAGAAATTTCATGTTAGTCAGGCACTTTAGACACACACTAGTGATCACTGTTCTTGTTTTCAGAGATTGTAACTAGATTTTTCACTTTATAAAAACAACTTCTTTGTCGCCCATGTAAAACTTGCTTCCATTATTCTGGGTGGTTGCCATGATGTTGCTATGCAGTTGCTAAAGTGTCCTGAGTGTTTTATGGCATGTTGCTATGTGGTTGTTAAGGTGCAGTTGTTAGGGTGTTGCTATGTTGTTCCTAGGGTGTTCTTAATGATTCTCACATTCTAACATTTTGCTAAGCAGTTGCTAAGGTCTTCTGGGTGGTTGCCAGAACATTGCTATGCAGTTGTTAAGGTGTCCTGAGTGGTTTTGGCATGTTGCTATGCAGTTGCTAGGGTGTTGCAATGTAATTGCTAGGGTGTTCTGAATTATTCTAACATTCTAACATGTTGCAAAGCAGTTGCCAGGGTGCTGCTATGCAGTTGCTAAGGTATTCGGTGTGGTTTTAGCATGCTGCTTTGCAGTTGCCAGGGTGATGCTATGTCATTGTTAGGGTGTTCTTGGTGGTTCTAACTTGTTGCTAAGCCGTTGCAAAGGTGTTCTGGGTGGTTGCCAGGATGCTGCTATGCAGTTACTAATGTGTTCTGAATGGTTGTAGTATGTTGCTAGGCTGTTGCTATCCAGTCGCAAAGGTGCAGTTGCTAGGGTATTGTATGTGGTTGTTGCTAAGGTGCAAGTTTAAAACTATCTGCTGAGGTTTAAAATTATGGAAGCCAATCTATGCCTGAGAGTAAAAGATAAAAACATACTTGAGATAAAGTAAATAAGAAATAAAGTCATATTATGAGATTTGAAGTCACAGTTACAAGATATTTTCACAACTGTGAGAAATACAGTCACATTTGTGAGACATACTGTTGCATTTACCTTTTTTTTTTTTTACCTTTTAGGACATTCCATAGGGTTGAGGTTCAGAACAAATCAAAAAGTTAGAAGTTGGTTAACTGATACTACGAAAGGTTTGTACCAAAAAAATGTTTAAATGCTTTAAAAGCTCTTTATGATTCCTGACCACAACATTTGTCAAAAAAAAGAGGAAGTATATTAAGTTTTGCATGGCCAAAAATACCTTTGTAGTTTTCTCACTTTCTTAGTTCCTTGAAATGGTCAAAGTTCAGTTTAGAGACTGCAGGAAAGTTCTGTCAGAGTACTTTTTATTTGCTTATAGTGACTCACTCACACAAAAGTCCACTCAAAATGACACATCCAAATGTGATATGAAGCTCAAGGTGATCTTTCTTGTTTGTCAATTATTAAATCTTACGTCTACAAATCCATTTGTTGTTAAAAGTAATAATTATCGTAAATATTCCTCGCTGGGAACTTTGCCTCCGGGTTGTAATGGCGTCACAGAATCCTCTATATCTAAATGAGTCCAAAAATCAAGGTCGGAACCACCAGTTTTCTGGGTTTTGACGTAACAGTAAGTGTTTTTGTGTGCCAAATGTTACTAGGGAGACAAAACAAACTTCATGCTGTAGAGTCAAAGTGGCTTAGTAACCAACAGCAGCTGCCACAACAATAAACACAACGGCGCACGCTAGAACACTATGCATAGTTTTACAGTAATTCATTCCATTCATGCATTTACTAAATCAAAACATACCTATCTGAATTTTATTAATAAAAACTGTGCTAACCATGTCCCTCAATACTTCTAGAAACCTTTGGTTTTTGGTGGAAATTTGGTCAACGCGTTTTTGGTAAGTTCTTTAAACTATCAGTGCTCTGTCAAAACAAAGAAAACATTGTGCTGTATTGCTTAGCAACAATACAGTAAAGTGATCTCCGTTCAGGCAGCGAGCGGCTCCACCTATTATAAGACCATATGCCATATGGAAACAGTGAGAATATAAAGGACACCTTTTTCTCTCTCTGGCCTGCTGCTGAGGAAACTCCAAACATTTGGACTCATTTAGGAGCAGACAGTTTTTGATTCTGACTTACAAAACACAGGAGAACCATGATTTAATGTGATCTTTTTTTTGTGGGGGGGGGGGGGTTAGATTACCCCCAAAAGGGTTTTACAGACAAAAGCCATGGAAAAAAGGTTTTCTACTGCTTAAAAATATTTATTTCTGGTGCTTTTAAGTAACTCAAAACCAAAACAATGATCTGAAGTGCCTGTAATGTAGAATCAAGAACATTTGCTCTCCAAAGAACCATCTAATTAAACACAAGAACCCTATATGACAAAAATACTGAGGAGGGTCTCAGGTGAACCTAAGGTCATGCAAGGAACCACTGTGGAACCATTTAAATGGGCAGTTTACCCAAAAATTTGGATTTGGTCATCTTTTACTCACCCTTATGTTGATCCAAACCAGTATGACTTTCTTTGATCTGTGGAAAACAAAAACAGACGTTTAGGAGAATGTTCATGCTGCACATTTCCACATAATGAAAGTCAATGGAGATGGCCACTGTATTTTCAAGAGATAACAGCTATAACTGCAGTCTATTCCTCTCACAAAGTTAATGTTTGGCTTGATATATGAATATGAATCATGTCAATTACTTTTACGGTACATTTATCATGCTTTTTTGTCATTTTTGAAGCTATACAGCATCTGTCCCCATTAACTTTCACTGTATGGAGAAGAGCAGAAGAAGACCATCACCTGCTGTGAGGAACGAACAACATGAGGGTGAGTAAAAAAGCCTGAATTTTCATTTTGGGGTCAAATTATCCTATAATAATGCACATTAGAGAAAGTACACCGTGTCACTATCTCCTGTCATAGACTAAAATGTTCTTATCTCATTCGACACCTGCTCAGAGTGAGCGCCGCCCTTTTAACTACCCAAACCAAACTATCAAAGAACCGTTGAGTAGATAATGTCATTTCTCGAATGTGTCTCGTGTGTCCATCACATTTACGCTTGAACAAGAGTGAACATATATGTCCAAGACTCTACAGCACTGATGTATGACGTACAGGTTAAAGCCAACATTGACGTGTTAACGTGTTTCCCACAGTGCTTGGCAGTCCAGCGGGTCACACAATCCCGTTCATTAGCCTCCTGCTCTAGTGACCCGCAGGAGGTCATCAGATTACGGCTACGTGTCTCTGCTCACTGCCTTTTCCTGCTACATGCCAAGTCAACAGATGCCTAAGGAGACTAGCGGATTTTACACACAAGACCCAGACTGAGCCAGAGAGCAGAACCTTCCAGCAAGAGCTCAGGCTGAAAGTTGATCACAATTAGGAAATCCTGGGCCACCCATTGGGGCTGATGGGAAGGTGCTGCTTTAAAAATAGAAATGTGTGCCGGGCCGGGAACAAAGAACAGTTGCAGAGTGTACAGAGTGTAGCGGAAAAGAATGGGCACTGAGTGATTGTCTTTCCTTTGACGTGTGATAACTTACACTTAAAAATGTCTGTGTTATTGCCAAGTTTTGGGCATGGTACTATGGTAATACCAAGGTATTATTTGAAGTAAATTCACCACAACAATGTTATAGTATATTTTTAATGTAAAAAAATACAAAAAAGTACCATGGTACTAACATATAGCACTTTTCCACTGTATAGTACAACTCGGCTCGGCACGACTCTCGCTCGCTTTACTTTAGCTCAGTTTGCTTTTCCACTGCAGTTTAGTACCGCTTCAAAGTGGGTGGGATTATAAACTAATCATTATAGTTGCACCGTCACCTCATCTACTGACTATGATACAGCCATTTTTTTCAAGTTGCGTGCGACGGTTGTTTAAAGCAAGCCGTTTAAAAAAATTTGTGCGAACAAATGGTACTGTGGTGGCTGTTGCTGACTATTTAAATCAAAATCCAATGACACTGGTAGTGACGATTCTCTCTGACCAATCAGTGATCTGCAGTGTTTACACGTCACATTTTAGTATCGGTATGGCTTGCTTGGAACCTCAACCAAGGTGGTACTAAAAAAGGTACCAGGTACTAGGTACAGTACTAGCTGTACCGAGCCATACCATGCTGTGGAAAAGCACCAATAGTTTTTGGACAGGATACTACTGTATAACTATGTTAATTTGGAAATGCACCCTGGTTTTCGGACACTGTCGTGATAGCAATACGATAGTATTCTTTGAATTAACAAAATACTTACCTCGTTACTTACCAGGTTACCTTGATATTTTGAAAGATACCATGGTTTTAGGCATGGTACCACACTGTACCATGGTACTGTGATAGTATCAGAAGGTATTACTATGGTACTCTGAAATATGCAATGGTACTTAAATTCATATACCATGGTTTTTATATTGTAGTACATGGAACTTCCAAAATACCATGGTACTTTTTTGTGAGTCATTAACAAGATACTCGTGGTATTTACATGGAACTTCAGACAATACCATGGTAAATGGTACATGTCCAAAATGGTAGTACTATGACACTTTTTACCATGACACTTCAAGTCATTAAAAATTATACTATAGTATTCGACGTGGTACCATGGTACTGGTTGCAAATACCATGGTCAGTTAATATTTGAATCATCTAGTACAATGTTACGTCTCAACGTACCATGGTATTGCCGTTTAACACCATCAGTGTATCATGTTATCACCACAGTGCTTTTCTGAGTAAACACCATGGTATATATAAAAGTACCATGGTATTATCTGACACGTCACATACAATGGTAGCCAAACAGTATGTACTGTAATGTTATGCAACAGCGCTATGTCTAATAAGTATGTTTCAAAATGGACTGACAGTCTGTATAGAGGACAAATTGGGCAATAAAAAAGGCCAGATACTTTGTGTGTGTGTATGTGTGTGGAGCGGAAACAAAAGGTGGTGGAAGGGGGATGTTGGAGCAGAAGGGGAGATTTTTAAGAAATTGGGGGTGGAGGTATTGGTGACAGCAGATGCTGTCCCAGCATGACTTCAGTGAATCTGTGGTGGGGGCTGTTGTTGGGGGGAGGGGCTGCTGGCCTTGTTTGACATCAGCTGCAAATCTGGTCTGAGTGTGTATTCATTTGTTTGTTTGTGGATGCATCCACGCACGTGTGCTTGAGAAGGGTGAGGGTGTTGGAAACGCATGTTTTTGTTTGTGTCTTTGTGTGGCGTGGAGGAGGGGTGGTGCTACTGTGTGCATGAAAAACATCCTTGGGTGCTTAGATGTCAGATTTAATTTGATCTGTCCAGAACAGTAGCAGACTGTGAGAGTGTGCACATATGTGTGTGTGTGTGTTTGTGTGTCAGATAGATAGATAGATAGATAGATAGATAGCATAATCAATGCATTCTGGGATAGATAGATAGATAGATAGATAGATAGATAGATAGATAGATAGATAACAATCGCAATGCACTCTGGGATAGATAAACAGAGAGATACATAGATCACATAATCGCAATGCATTCTGGGATAGACAGATAGATAGATAGATAGATAGATAGCATAATCAATGCATTCTGGGATAGATAGATAGATAGATAGATAGATAGCCAAAACAAGGTACATAAAAAGGCAGCATAATGCCTATCAATTGAAAGAGTCTTAGAATCAAAAATGTGCCTACGATGCAATCTAGATAGTGAGCTCACTAGGTTTTGTAACAGAGCTTAACGTTTGTTCCCATGGCTCTCCTGTCTGTGTCTTTGTATTGGTGCTTCTACCATCACGTCTGTGTGTAATCATGCACTTCCTGCGAACACTGCCGGCCATTCATCATCCAAACACACACACAGCTCTTTTTACCTCTCTGCAGGCCCCTTACATACACCCAACTCTCTTTCTCTCTTCTTTCCCACATATTGACACTTTTGTTTTTATTTTTTCTACTCTTCACTCCCTTTTATACCTCTACATAGACAACACAGACAGATTTAATTTGATCTGTCCAGAACAGTAGCAGACTGTGAGTGTGTGTGAAAGACAGAGACAGATAGACAGACAGACAGATAGATAGATAGATAGATACTTCCGTTCTCCATCACCCCTCCTATCTGTTTGTTCATAAGTCCAGAGCAGCAAGGACACTCTGTCCTATATTATTACCCTTGAAATTACATAACCAGGACAGAAGTGGGGCGATGTTTAGAGGGGAGTAAAATGAAACGTCCCTCGGTCTCACACTGCCCAGTGTGCCGAACAGCTAAGTGTGTTTGTTTTACTTCATTCAGTTTCAGCGTGTGTGTGCAGAGCTGTTGGCCCTGTATGACGGTTGCTATTTTTGTAAACAGAGCAGAGAGAGAGAAACAGCATTAGGATGTTAGAGCAAGGATGTTTTAATGTCACTGCTGTGCGTCACAAGCGTGTCACATGGGTTCTAGCCGGAGGCATGACAGCAATCCGGACCCCTGAATTACACTCCTCATAATTGATGCATGTCTCCTAGACATGCAGTAGAAACACAAACCTCACTGACTATCAACATTAGCAATTACATAATAGCTCCCCTCCCACTACTTCTACTATCAATAAAAGACATTACCAAGTCTGTAATCTAACATCAAAACAGTTGCCACTCCTCCACAACCTTCAAAACAATACAGCTTGAGAGAGAAAGGACAAGTTTGTTGACAACTGGATGTGGAGATGATCAGAGCCTGAGGCAAAGGTGTGTTCCTGTGGTGTCACACTCTAAACTGGTTGAACGAACACAAAACACACAATTGTGTGAGGTGAGCTCACTTTACGGTCATGTGGCGTGACCTGTACCCTGGGCGCCACCCTTATATGATCCCAGCAGTAGCAACTCAAGTCATGTCATGTCATGATAGTCAAGTGATTGTTTAGGGCCCACCACAAGTTTCACTACTTCTGTCCAATACTCTACTTACCGATTTTTCACAAATTGCTAATAAACATACTCATCTCTAGCTCAGTAGTTTCAGAAACTAGAGGTATTTGGTAGACTAGCTTGTCAGACGGGGTTGAAAGTACTTGATTTGTGTTTATGAGTAGATTAAATTCAACGTCAACATACTTTTCTAAGATTGACCAAAGTAATTAGTGGCTTTGTAGTATAAATTAGCGGTAATTGATAGGTAAAAAGAGCACATTTTAAAGCTAGCTATTCAGATTTGTGTTTGTATAATTAGGTTGAATTCAACTTCAACAAACTTTCCTAAGACTGACAAAAATAATTAGCTGCTTGTCTTTCTAAAATGTTATCAAAACGTTGTAGAAACTAGCAGTACTCATAGGTTAACTATAACCAATTTTAAAGCTAGCTATCCAGATAGGGTTGAAAGCACTAGTTTTGTGTTTGTATAGTTAGGGTTGAATTCAGCTACGACAAACTTCTAAGATTAACAAAAGAAATTAGCAAGTTGTCTTGTTAAAAATGTTAGCAAAATGTAGTATAAGATAAATGTTAGGGAGTAACTAGCTAAAAGTAGCA